AGCGCAGATAGCCCTCGTGTAGCTTTGCGCAAAATCCATAACAAACAAACAAACAAGCGTATACCCGATTAGATTTTAATACTCATCAGGATCTTTACCAGCCTACCCTCAAATTGAAATTATTTTAGGCGGGATTAGAGTAAATTATCCTATAAGACCTTGGTCGTGGTCAATATATCAATTGAAAGGGTTTGACCTCTCGAGTCCAAAACTGTAATTAGACCTCAAATCAATCAAGAGATGACAGAGTTATGAGCTAAATGTTTGTACTTGAAAACAACTTAGAATCATTCTACGAGCCGCTATGATGCAGCTTAAAATGTCCAATCAACACTTCTGTATTTTTCGAATATATGTATATGCTCGCGTAATAAAAACTCACTTTAAAGACAACATTTAAAGTACTTCAGGTGTAGTTTCAAACTCCTAGTCAAACTTTATGTAGTCTCGTCCATCTATACGAAGAATACGCATGTGTTTGTCTGTTTCGAATTTTTCTCGAAAATTTATCGATCAAATGCTACAGATCTCATATTATTAGAAAGGCCTTTGTCCAAGGAGTCCAGATTGCATATTGGCTTTCCCATTCAGAATCAGCTAGCTGGTTTTTGTTTAGTCAAACGTTTTAATGCAGGGAGTATGTCATCACGTGACGACTGGCTTCGACCTCAACTTTATTTATTGTTATTTGCAAAGCATTTCACACAAACGATACTTAACCTGCGTGTAATTTTCTAATGAGAACATTACACTAAATACAATTGCTATGGGCTTTCTCGACTTATTTAAGTCTAAAATGTGTGTGCGCAGTTCGTTCAAACATATATGCTTATCACTTTGAACATGCATTCAGACGTTTCTGTATATTCAACTAAGTTTGCCTTCATTATAACTTTACATTTACTTTACAATAATTTAGCTTGGTTTCGTTTCATAGAATGCTATAAACACCTTTTAGTTACTTTTTCTTTAGTGTGGATTTTATTCTTCGTTTTTGTGAGTTCATTTGTTTCAACTCGTAAAACCATGTCATACACTGAACGCTCATAACTGTTTCATACTCTGTACACTATTATAAGTACCATTACTATACTTTATTTTTTACTTTACGTGTAGTTTTAATAAAGTTACATGCGTATAATTTTATTAATAAAGTTATTTCTACGTGAGTTTGTTTGTCTGACCATGTAAATCTTTTTCAAATACACCAGGATTTATCGATATAACACTTAATCTCTGCAAGAAAGCGTAGCTTAAATTCCGTGCGTGAAAATGATAGAATAAGGAAAATTCAGGTGAAGAGTATGAAAACTACCGCAAATTGTTTGCGTTTCGGCTTGTAAAAATAATAATATCAATCGGTTTTTCAGTTGTTTGGGGAGTCATCAGTTACAATCACGTGGAAGTAAAAACAATCTATAATATCCTGTTCCTAGTCATATTACTTACACTCAAAAGTTTAATACACGTCTCTTTTCAGGTGTTGGAATATCAAGCGAAACTGATAAAAAAGAAGCTATCATTAATATTTGAAAAATAATTTTTTTCAACAATGATGCTTAGAAGGAAATTGATAAAATAATCATAAATTTGACTTCAAGAGCGGATAAATTTGTCATAAAAATGACTTGGGGTTATAAAAATATTTAAAAGTGACAAAAAAGGTTGATAAATTTATCACAAAAATGACTTGGGGGTTATAAAAATATTTAACAGTGACATAAAAAGTTGATAAATTTATCACAAAAATGACGTGGGAAATTATAAAATAGTTAAAAGTGACACAGAAGGTTGATAAATTTATCACAAAAACTGTTTTGGAGAATTTATAAATGTTTCAAGAAAAACAAATTCGGTGATTAGTAACTTTTCACAAAAGATACAGTGACAATTAGTAAATAAACTACAACAAAATATTGACTTTCGATATTGATATATTTTCTATAAAAATTGATAAATTTATCACAAAGTCGTGTCATATGAGAATGATAGACTTGTTCATAAAAATTGGTTTAACAGGTTAATTAATTCTTCATGATAAAAATTCCTTGGTAACTTAATATCTGTTTCACAAAAATTACATAGGAAATTTATAAATTTAAACACAAAGTTACTAAGAAGACTGATCATTTTATCATAAAAACGTGTTTTAGGAAATTGATTAATATATCATAACACTTGATTATTTTACCTTTGTTAGTTTCCGAAGTCAGTGCTTTTTGGCGGCAGAAGTAGGATTCTTTAAGCTGTGCTAGAAGAAAGTCTTGTGCGTTCGCAACCGAGCTTAGACTGTCATTTGTCTGTTCTATAACTGTTTCACGCACCTGTATCAATAAAATCAGATTAACACTCGAATGGAACTTTGAACACCATAATCGTTCTATTATTGCTGTTGTTGTTGTTATTTTTCATGTAAAAATTCTACTTATAATAGAATACATATAACAATAGATGCTGTTGAGATAAACTAGTCAAACGTTCGTTTTTTATAATATTCGCGCAAATCTGCTAGAGAAGGTTATCTGCGTTAACCGTCTCAAATTTTGAACTGATAGAAAGGTAGCTGGTCAGCAGCACCCACCGCTAACTCTTGGGCTACTCCAATCAAATAGTGGGATTTGCCCATCGCTCTTATAATGTTCTTACGACCACAAATGGCAAAACGCGATTTTATGGGAAGGGTTTGTTTGTAATTAAGCTACACAATGGGCTATCTGTGCTCTGCCCACCACGGGTATCGAAACCCAGATTCTAGCGTTGTAAGTCCGCAGACATACCGCTGTGCCACTGGGGGGGGGGGGGTTATGGGAAGGGAACCACAGAATGTTTATTTAACACTGTTTATACAATACATTAGTATTGTACTAGACCTGTATGATTAATTGTTTATTTCTAGTAGTTTATGTAATACTTTTTTACAGCACATTAGTATTGTACTAGACCTGTATGCTTATTTGTTTATTTCTAGTAGTTTATGTAATACTTTTTTTACAGCACATTAGTATTGTACTAGACCTGTATGTATGTTATTTTTATAGACGTTTCTTTAACACTCTTTATGGTACATCAACATTTGTTTCTAGAAGTTTATTTAACATTGTTGAGGCCACATTAACATTTCATTTATTTCTAGAAGTTTCCTACGTACTGTTTACGACACATTAATATTGTGTTAATGTGTACGTTTGCTTCTAGAAGTTTCTCTAACACTGTTTGTGTCTCATATTAGACCCGTATGTTTATGTCCCCAAACTTCTATATACGTCATAGCTGTAACTGTGTGTTTATTCCTTTAGTTTCCCTATAACGTTGGACCAATCAGACTCCTCCTGAACAGTATGTTGGGTACTCTGTTTAAATACGTTTCATCATGTTTTTCTCTACAACGACACGTGTTCCAGCACCGCTGATAGAATAACATTAAAAGCTTCAATAATAATACAAATATAAACAACGTAAACAGGCTGTATACCGTACAAAAGTTGCATCTGTACTTTCACATTTATTTTGTTTTTCTGGTACCGTACGCTATGCTACAGATATATATATTTACGTTCAGATAATTCATTCATTTTCGTATATACTCGCACGTATGAAATTTATACAGTGTGTATTTTCAGGTGAATCTGTCCTGTACACATTCTAACAATCCAAATCCACAGCACATCACATTTGTGTATGTGTGTGCGTTTTTGCTATTTCTACATATGTGGAACTAAGTTCCGTACTGGATACGGATTAAGACACAGTGAACATGTATTATTATATTGAGGACGACCTACGTGAATGCACACAGACATACACACACACACTTCAAAATGTTACTCATCTGATATAGATTATTCTTCGTCTGCAAAAAAAAACAAGAAAAAAAAACACATTTTCTTGCCCGTGTATGGATATAAACACGATGTTTTGATTTTACTAATTGTTTTTTTAATAACAAAATCAATTAGTTTTTAAGTGATTTACAAAAGCAGCAGGAACTGAAAAAAAAAAACAAAAAACAAGTCTCTACTGTTATAACAAAGGACTCCAGAAAAATGCGTAGCTATTACAGGAAAGTTTCAAAAATTACACAGCTTAACGAATTCAAAGATTAATATGTATATTAGATTACGTTTAAGGAGATTATGAGAGAAAGAACCCATTGGTAATGAGCAGGAATAGAGTCCCTTGGAAAAAAAAGAAAAATTATTTTTGTTGTTTAACAATACAACAGCCCCTCCAGCGATACGTCTGAGAGCCTATAACGTTAAAAATCAGGTTTTGATACCTGTGATGAGCACAGCACAGATAACTCTTTCTGTAGCTTGGCGCTTCTGGCCCGGCATGGCCAGGTGGTTAGGGTGCTCGACTCGCAATCTACGGGTCGCGGGTTCGAATCCCCATCACACCAAACATGCTCGCCCTTTCAGCCGTGAGGGCGTTATAATATGACGGTCAATCCCACTATTCGTTGGTAAAAGAGTAGCCCAAGATTTGACGATGGGTGGTGATGACTAGCTGCCTTCCCTCTAGTCTTACACTGCTAAATTAGGGACGGCTAGAGCAGATAGCCCTCGTGTAGCTTTGCGCGAAATAAAAAAAAAACAAGCTTTAACTTCAACCTGAGTTACGATACAGTAAATGGATTAGTACTGCCTGTAATTTCCTCAAATAGTTTTAAGAGTTACGGATAAGATATATTATATATACATAAAAACAAATCGTGAAATTGGATTTTTGTGCAAGAGATTTACGGAATAGGAGATAAAAAGAGAGGATAAACTAAAAATATTAGGTTGAATAAGATATACCGAGGTCATCAGAACCGTTTGTTTCGAGTTAAGCACAAAGCTACACAATGGGCTATCTGTACTCTGCTCATCACGGGTATCGAAACCCGGTTTCTAGCGTTTTAAGTCCGCAGACATACTGCTGTGCCACTAGTGGGCGAACCGTTCATGGAACCACTACACGATTACTAATTGCTACATTCACCAGCGGATTTCATTATAAAAGTTTAGATGGCGTGGAACATGTAGTTTGTTCATTTCTTTAAATATTGGATTAATTTTTCTGGTTATATTTGCTATAGTAGGAACGACACCTCTATGTATCTCTCTCATGCATACACTACAAACTAAGAAAATGTTTTAAGGGGTTGAAGTTCTCCTAACTGAATCGATGGAATCCGTTACAAAATAAATGCTTTTGTACTCTCCAGATATAACATATAAGATTTTGTATGTTATTAAACACGAAGTTACACAGTGAGCTATCTTTACTATGCCAAACGCAGAGATCTAACCCCAAATTTTAGCGTTATAGTATAACCTGTCTAGTATACTGCTGAGCCACCGTATATATAAAAACTTATTTTCGTAGCCATTGTTGTTGTTTTAGGGCAAAACTACACAATGAGCATATGCTCTCTGTCCGCTGCGAGAATCGAACCCCTTTTAATAGCATCATCCTGCTTGATAATAACAGCTATATTTTTATGTTTTAAAGCAGCCAGAAATAAGATAGTTGGTTTCAGATATTGCATAGTTATTGGAGAGGAGTCCGAATATTCATATAGCTATGGTTAATACTTTCTGTTTTTATTGTTCTAGTTAGCTAGAAACTAGTTACGACCTCTTTTTTCTTTCTTTGTTTGAAGTTAAGCACAAAACTACACAATGGGTTATCTGTGCTCTGTCTATCAAGAGTATCGAAACACAGTTTCTAGTGTTGTAAGTCCGCAGACATTCGGCTGTGCCACTGGGGAGGGGCTGTTATGAGCTCAAAGAATATGTTACTACAATCTTATATTTATTATTTTTTCATATAAATTATCAGTACATATGGCAGTAGCTGACATTTCATTAAACATGTTATAGTTTACAAATTTCATATCAATGTATAAATATTTCACACACAATTGAGTCTTAAGAGATTTTAGAATTTTTAGACCTGAACGCTTGTTGTTATTTCCTAATTTCGAGCAAACTTATTACACAAAGGCTATCTGCGCATTGCCATCGTAATTTGGAGTGATAGGTCATAGAGAAGGTAACTAGCCAACAGCCAACCACTGCTAGCTCTCGGGGTACTTTTACCTTGGCCGAATATTGGAACTTGACCATTACTGTTATAGCGCACTTACAAACCAAAAGTCCACAGCACATTTTTTACAGCAGATGGACGAGAAGTAAGAAACCCTCTAATTCCCAATCCGATCGTGCTAACCTTAGGCCACACTCTGTCCCAAACTAGAAAGCCTTTTTTAAGTTTTTTATATTATACACCTGTATTCGTGTTATTTTGAGATGAAAGAGCAGATAAATTGTACTCATAAAATTTATTTAAAATTATGTAAAATTCCGTTATGCTTGCAGAGCCTTTTGTATATATTTTGTCAACATCCGATGTTAAAAATAAGTAAAAAGAGTTTGTTGTAATTAGTCACTATTTGATAGTAGAGTAATCAGATCAAAATATGTCAGATTATCGATTGAGAATTCGTTTATTTAATGTGGAAGAACGTGGTGGTTTCAGTGGCGATTCAAAACTTATAATATCTATAAAACAAAACTTCGTTCTTGTGACAGATCAGCCTGATCAAAGAAAGGGTAACTAACAGCATCATAAAACTACGTATCTACATCGGTTTGATGCCAATTAAAAGAAGGTAAACTATAATTTCTGAGCATTTAGCCTATCTAATATATTTTCCTCGCTTTTACACGCTTCGTATTACCAGTGGAGAAAGTTAGGGAATATAGCCGTAAAGCTACGTATACACGTAGACTAATTAATGCAGTGTTTTGATTTGGTTTTACGACAATAAGCACCAAGAATATAGAACCATAAAATATCATATTACTGCATTTTTAATGTTGGCAATGAATTAATCTGCAATGTTAACTAACATTATTTGCAACAACACGTGAAATCTCTCTCATATGCGTGTGTGTGTATATATGTATATGTATACACAAGACAGAAAAATAATTGTAATTTTTATTAAAGAGGTATAAAAATAAAGGGAAACTGATTAGAAAAGACAAAATAATCTATAGATATAGAATAATCTAATTTAAAACTCTAAGATTGAGTTCTGTTACTTGCAACAAAATCGGTGTTGATGTTAGAATAGTTTTTCAATTTAGATTAAAAGGTTTTGTGACTGACGCGATTGCTTGTAAACATCTTTTATGTATCAATGTATTTTTATGACTACATATACACTACTTACGCAACAAGGTTCGCTTGTATCTGAATGTAAACACAATATATATATATATGTCTGCTCTGGCTTGCTATAGCACCGAAGTTGATATTGTTATTGTCATAG